ATGGACAAGTACGGCAAACGGATAGCCCTTATTTCGACACTGATGTATACGGACCTTGCTGCGAAGAAATGTTCGTTGGGATCGTTATGAAGTTGCAACGAGATGGCAGCGTACCGTTTGAGTGTTCTTAGATGTAAGATGAAGCTCCCATCGTACGTAGTTCATGCACAATATTGCAAGACAGAAATAGGTAAGAATTCATCATCTACGCTACGCAAGACCTACAGGTGAAATAGAGCAGCGCACCTGTAACTAATTAATGCAGGCAAAAACTACACACCGTACTATCACACACATGGCATGGCAGTGGCCACTTGGCAGGGCATAAGTTATCAATGTACACACTGACAGTAACAAGAATGCCAATAGAAATTATAGACGATATTAAGGAGCATAAACCTTCTTTCGACCACCACATTAGCTTGAATATTTTACTGTGGACATTGTAGCCTCATCATCCAGGCATGTAACATTCTAGACTAGCAAACGCGCGCAGTCAAATTACTTTCCTAAGAGTAAACAAGTCACATGTTAACCCCTCCTACTAGAGGGTCAAAGGTTATCCAACATTACTATCACATGTCGCAGAAAGTACATTTCATGGTCTTTCAATAAGCCATAACAAGACCGAGAGGCTGGGCTCGGGTCGTAGATTTGCGTAAAATCGGCGTGTAACCTTGGCGTTACAGATATACGATTAATCAGCGAGCGTGACGTACCACATTTTGTCCAGATATGCAGACACGCACACACATATCATTGGACAGCACTATGAGATGGAGGTGGGAGGGTGGGGGAAGGGGGGGGGGGTGGTGGGGAGGGGGTAGGGGGGGGGCTCTTAATAGCAAAGACAGTTCACGTCCTTTGTTAAGTCACAATCAATGTTAACCCTCCTCTTGAGGGTAAAGGTTATCGACACTTATACCTTTGGCGCATGCCCCCCCCCCGTCAGCAGAAAGGGACTTTCATGGTCTTGTTCATATAAGGCCATAAAATGCTAGTCACCTTCTGAAACAACAAAAGTTTTTCAATCGCTCCGTCAGACGCATGTCTCAAGAAAATGTCTAAAATCTGCCTGTGCCCATTGACTTGATGGTGACTCAATTTCGGCACAGTGATGGCTTTTCCTACCATGAATGCTGATAGAAACACCGACTTCACCGAGCCTAGGTCGCAGCGTTTAGATTTGGCCGCATTCTGCATTTCCTCCCTATAACCATAAGTTAAGGAGTGATATGTTCCCCTTCTTTACACATCTTGACTTTGACGTAACTTGACACCCAGCGTTCGAGCTCCAAATCGTTTTGAGATCCCGCCCCAACGCCCGCAATATGCGTGACCGTATACGTCGAGCGGTTAAGATTTGTGCCCACTGTTGACGACGACGGACGACCGGAGACCGGACGAACCGGACGCGACGGACCGGACGGACGATCAAGCCGATTCTAAAGCTGGCATCTGACTATGTCAGATGAGCTAAAAATGCTAGGTCATGCGTGAAGACAAAAAAGTTTTTCAATGCGCTCCGTCAGACGCATGTCCTCAGAAAATGTGTAAAATCTGCCTGTGCCCGATTGACGTGACACTGTGGACCTCCTATTTCAACACAGTGATGGCTTTTCCTACTATGATGCTATGACACGCCTATCAAGTGAGCCTAGATGAGCCGTTTTAGTTTGTGCCGCAATTCTGTTGCATCTTCCTCCTATGACCGTAAGTTAAGGAGGGAATGTTCCCCTTCGTTTACCCTTGACTCTTTGATCATATTGACACCCCGCGACATCCCAAACTCGCTTTGACATCCCCCCCCGAACGGGTCCGAATCATCGTACGACGTAGAGCGAGCGTAAGTTAATTGTGGCCAACGATTGACTAGCACGGAACGCAACGAGACGGACGCACGGGCTCATGCGTTCTACCAAGCTGGCATCTGCTATTGTCAGATGAGGCTAAAAAAAAGGAACTAAACATTCGAAAACTGATGAAGCAAGTTAGCGCATTATACGGCTATTTAAGCTACAATTTGACCATGTAGATCTATAAATAAGCGCTTTAGAACTTACTGGCTAAATTATTGTAGCAATCCACGAATACGGACGAAATTCTTCCATTTTCTGCTCTCTGATAGCCCATCATTGTTGGTTTTAACTTTATTCTGGAGACATGCTGGTAGATTGGATTCTTAATTGTTAATGCTTCAAGTGAAGCAGGGCTCGATGGTATTTCGCTGCAGCACTATGAAAGGCATGAACACTATATAAATAAAACTAGATAAACATAGACAAATTATAATACTAGAAATCCAACCCTAGAATCGACCATGGTTCTTGTTACACCAGGACCGATGTAAAACCATGAATGATATGTATGCACAGTGTACTATATTTATGATACAAGCTTCATAATATGGGGGACACCATACATGTTTTAATATGTTTAACAAAGAGAATTCATGTTGATAGATAAAGTCAAAGATTGAAGGGAGCAAGAATGTGAAGGTTTCGACTGTGGCGTTTCACAAAAGACAATTTTAAATTTAGATACTGTGTTAGCTTGTTTTGAATACGGCAGCATTTTTGCTAGTGTTGTATAATTACGACTAAAATACATAAACAGTGACAGCGAAAATAACGCATAACACATGAGGATGTATTGACAGAATATACAGATGCAGGGTAAATGTGGGGCAAAAAAGTTGAATGTAGCAAAGTTTAAATTGTATGATATAATCATCTGCTTATCAGCTATCATCAGAAACATCGGGACATTCCAGAAGAAACTCTCAAATCTATCACACGTATACTGGTAATTTTAGTGAGGAAAATCAGAGCTAAACGAGTAGCTAACTCACTCTGTATTTTTTTCCTTGTACAATGATGTTTTCCAGCCGTTTGTATTCTTCGTGCTTGGTGAATTTTTTCATCTACGTCATTAGACTTGGAACAACGAGCAGTGCCTTCACAGATGCCAATGTCCTCACTAACGCTGCGTCTATCTTTCATTTTCTTTCTCGTCTTCTAAACTCTGTTGGTTTCTACTCGAAGTGACATCACCAGAGATATGCAAAGGATTAGGCTACAGCTCATACCTCTGCAGAGACGTTTGCTGGCTATCAGCCATCGCAGCTCGCACCGCGTCACAAGTAGTACTTCTTTGGCCAAGGTTTCACTGCTGTAGACCAGTCTTTGTGTAGTCTGCAAACAATTAAACAAGCTAAAGAGTCAGCAAAGATGAACAAATTACAACTTATTTTGCTCAATTCCTAAATAAATTTCGGCATACTACGTTCCATCGCCATTTTTTCGCGGGGCAAAAACGGAAAAATGTTGTGGCGGGCTGCGACACTGTGTTTGTCGGGCGCACCACCATTGTTTTATATAAGTCATATAGATGTAAAATGAAAATGCAAATTTTATTTGTGAAAAAAAAGCTTTTGCCATTTGTGGCCTTTTATTGTCACAGGTGAAGTCAAAGTAGCATGCATCACAAGAGAGCGACAAATTTAGTAATTTACTTGATGTAATTTTAAATATGGTGAAAAATTTATGACCGGACTTTCTGGACTCCGGGACCAGCATGTTGGCACGCGGGACAATGCTGTTGAGACCGGGACACTGTGGACGTATGGTATGCACACTACAACATAAATATAGTTTTTATTTTTATGCAAGTGTGCATAGCGTGCAGCGGCACGCAGCGTGCAAGTGGAAGTGGGCAAGTGGGCGTAGGTGTTTGCTGGTCATTGAGACATTTGGCAGCCGCCTTGTCGCAAAATGATATAACAGTCAGTGGTGAAGAGAGTAGAGAAACTAAGAACTTTTTTGATAGTAATTAGATTTGTATTTATTTAGGGCGATTATATTGTTATTGAAACGCTCCAAGTGCCTGTGCCCGTGCCTGTGGCTGTGGTTGTCAGTGTTGCATGATCATGATTAGTGAAAGAGAGAGAGAAAGAGAGAGAGAAAGAGAGAGAGAAAGAGAGAGAGAGAGAGAGAGAGAGTGTGTGTGATCGAGCGAGAGAGAGAGGGAGAGAGAGAGCGCGAAGGGAAGAGAGAGCAAGAGCGAGAGAGCGAAAGAGAAAGAATGAGAGAGACAACGAGGGAGAGCGAACGCGGCGATGGGAGGGTGCTCTTGATTCGTTTGCCAGTTAGTTTAGCATCAGAACACCTGTCGTCAGGTGAGCGCTGTCGCTCTGCGGCACTTGTTCTATATTGATATACAAAACTTTGTTTATTAGATTTTATGTTAGGAGATTTTTTCACAGAAATAGGATATGAATGACATTAAAGGTAAAAGACTGTAGCTTGTCACAGAAATAGTGTGCGAACTTGCCTTGTTTTGTAATCACAAAATTTGAAAAATAGTGTTCAGGTTGTAGAAGTATTCAATTCTGGGTATAATCGTTTAAGTGCCTCACCTCGCTGTATTACGTATATATATGTGCGCCTGTGCATGCATGTCCAAACGCATGTTACACATTTGCTCCCACGATATGTGCCAGTCAGTGTCTTATACGGTTTTTTTGTAGCTGCCTTGCTCAATATCTCTCCAATAAAGTATGACCGGGTGTTGGAGTGCAGCACAAAGGCCCTCGAGATGTCGGTCGACAATGTCAAGGCGATGTTTCGACGTGGTCTGGCACTTTACCACCTTCACGACCATGAGGCAGCAATGTACAGTTTACAGAAGGCTCAACGTCTCTCCTCCCCACCAGGTATACATCAGGAGACACTTGTAGAAAGTCACGTGTGTAGAATATCGCTGTGTTACAACGTACTTGTGGATCCAGTGTCTGTGCGTGGTATTATTGATGGCTATTAGGTGGTATAGTGCAGATTTCAAGGAGCTAAACTGGCTGTGCTGGTATAAAGGAGGATGCATGGGGAACTGTTCTTGCTTACAACCATGACTGATGTGATCGAGTGAAACCATGACGAAAAATAGTAATATTCAGTTTGGTCTTCTAAGTAATATTCAGTTTGGATACATTTAGGGTTGTAGCTGAAATTTGGTCAAAATTTTAATACCCATTTTATTTGATAGATGGCGCCTCTGGGTAGCTATGCATGTATAGGTGGTGTACAACAGTAGAAGGCGTCCATAGGCAGCAGGCCTGAATAAGCATCGAACAGAAATTTATTAAAAATACTCACACTGTTACTTCGCATACACAACATACACTTTAGAATGCACGTGTGTAAAGGAAATCAACGTGCACTGACAGTGCGTTACGCCAGAAATGCTGGCAGGTTTCGGCTTCGGTTTCGATCTCGGGCGTAAGTTGGTGTTTCTCGATTGGCAGCGAGTCAGTTGTACATGTGCGAGTGCTGGTGAAGCATTGTCCATTGCGTGTATACGGTGTACGCTGTTTACTCTATAAGTTAATATACGTAGTTAATATATGTAAATGAAATCAACGTAGACTGGGAAGTGCGTTACGCCAGAAATGCTGGCAGGTTTCGGCTTCGGTTTCGATCTCGGGCGTAAGTTGGTGTTTCTCGATTGGCAGCGAGTCAGTTGTACATGTGCGAGTGCTGGTGAAGCATTGTCCATTGCGTGTATACGGTGTACGCTGTTTACTCTATAAGTTAATATACGTAGTTAATATATGTAAATGAAATCAACGTAGACTGGGAAGTGCGTTACGCCAGAAATGCTAACTCATTTAGAGTGCACAGCCAGAGAGGCATATTAATGATAAATTTCATAACAATGTTGTATATCCAGAAGCTTTCACTGCATTGAATCATAGAATCGTTCAAACTGTCAGAATATTGTTTATTGTTTGTTTCTCTGTTACGAATCTATCCTTAGAATCAAGTAAATATATTTGCTGAATTTGTTCTACAAGTTGTTCCTAAGCGTTTTTCCCCCGAGCAACGCCGGGTACCCGGCTAGTCGACACCTCTTGCGAGCATAGGTCAGTTGTAGATTATGCAGCAACAACGTTACTGCAAGTGTTGGTGACACAAAGAAATGCCATCGGCAGGTCATGGGCATGCTCTCTAAGAAAACATGAAATGTTTAGGTATATAAATGAAAAATGATTCGTAGTTTGGGTGACATTTTTGATGACATTCTAGGGCCCAACACTGTTGTTACTTGCCCCAGGGGACTCGGCAAGTGATAGTTTTCATCAGTGATAATGTAAAAAATATATTAATGCATTGAATTGGGTTTTACCAGCGTTATGTTGTATCTCTTGTTTGTGTAACTTTACAGATCCAGCAATCAAGAAATACATTTCATTGTGTCAGCGAGCGATGCAGGACTATGACAAGAAGCAGAAATTGAAGTACAGAGGTATGTTTGATAAACATCCTGAACCCGTGTGACATAAATTATTGAGGATTGTCCAGTTTTCAGTAATATTACACACATGTATAACATTACTGTTTGATATCTGTTTTGTCCTAATATTTCACCTTGTCATTAAGGTATGTGACGAAATCGAATTCAGACGTTCTTTAATGCTTGTTGCTCTGAACATACTCAATAAGTTATATATAGTGTGATATATATATGTAACTGAGAGCTAGTATTAGGTATTATTAGCACTTGACATAACTGTAAAGTATAACTGTAAACATTATTACAAATATGTGCGGTAGGCTTAGTAATGATTTAGTACTCAGAATTATGCATTGTAATAAAGGTTCATGAATTAAATATCAAACTAGATGTACAGTGTTTACTGGGAATTATGTTTACCAGATCACAAACTTCATTATTATATACCAAGTAAGTGGCACAACTTCTGACTCAAAATTATTGCTGGATTCTTATTTTAGAAACGCGCTTGTCGCTACTGTAATTTTTTTTGTTTGTATAAATGTAAAATTAGCATTAATTTTATATGTAAAATCTTAGGAAAATGTAAATTATAATATTGTGACAGGGTGTTCTGAATCTTACACTAAAAATAGTAACACTGTATGAATGGTTTTCTGCCTACTATACGTTTTCGTGTATGACACTGTGATTTCATGCCTCGAGACGGGCAGTTTTTCATGACTACTGTTACGTGCACATTATGTAGCTATAGTACGTGGTAGAGTGTCTTTTCAAAACCTCCTATATTGTGTAGTTACTGCCTGACATTTTACAACTTGGATTAATCTCACAACTTCAGCACAGAATATTTTGCCTTGGTTTTCGCATGTATGGAACTGCATGGTGCACTAAACCAGAAGCAGAACGTAACCAGAACTACAGTGGGAGTCGACGGTTTGTGTCAATAGCTCTCGCCGGGTCTTTTACAAGCAGCGGAAAACGAGATTGAAAATCTTCCGTAATATAACAAAAACAAATTGCCGATGATGAGGAGGGCGTGCTGTGTGTGTGTGAGTGTGTGTGTGTCAATATGTCCGCCTCTCGTGCAGTGAGGAGGCAGGAAGGGAATCGAAACGTCTCCGTGAGGAAAGGCATTACTGTAAGTCGTACAGGAAAGCGAGAATTGAATCCGTTTACACTGGCGTTCTCATTGAACAGAAACATATGCGAGCCAGTGAAATCACGTTAAAAAACGGTCTTCATTTTTATTTCCTTCAGTTTATGAAACATGTGCAGTGGCAGTGGTGATAGTGCCGGTCAACAAACTACGTTTAGCATATAGTGAAAGCGTGGCTCCAAACTTCTGTGTGACATGTTATGATGTAATTCTATAGCGTTGACATCAAAACTATATTTATGTGTAAGTGTGCATAGCCATACGTCCCAAGTGTCCCGGTCTCAACAGGATTGTCCCGGTGCAACATGCTGGTCCCGGAGTCCAGAAAGTCCCGGTCGTAACATTTTTCAGCCATATTTTAAAATTTACATCAGTAAATTACTAAATTTGTCGTGGTTGTTGATGCATGTACTTTGATTCCAGTGAACAATAAAAGGCCACAAATGGCAGCTTTTGTTTTCACAATAAATTTGCATTTTATTTTACATGTATATACTTTATAAAAAAATGGTGGTGCGCCCCGACAAACACATGTCGCAGCCCGCCACAACATTTTTCCTGTTTTTGCGCACCGCGAAAAAACGGCGATGGACCGTAGTATGGAAATTTGTAGTGAATTGTAGCAAAATAAGTTGTAATTTTGTTCAATTTTGTGACTCTTTAGCTGTTTAATTGTTGCAGACTACACAAAGACTGGTCTACAGCAGGTGAACCTGGCCAAAGAAGTATTACTTGGACGCGTGCGAGCTGCGATGGCTGAAGCAGCAACGTCTCTGCAAGGTGATATGGCTGGGAGTCCTGATCATTGTGATATCTCTGGTGATGTCACTTCGAATAGAAACCAACAGAGTTTAGAAGACGAGAAAGAAAAGATAGACGCAGTCGTTAGTGAGGACATTGGCATCTGTGAAGGCACGTCTGCGGGTGTTTCCAAGTCTAATGACGTAGATGAAAAAATTCACAAGGCAGAAGAATACAAAACGGCTGGAAACACATTGTACAAGGAAAAAAACTACAGGAGTGAGTTGTACTGGTTTTAGCTCTGATTTTCCTCAACTAAATACCAGTATACGTGTGATAGATTAGAGAGTTTCTTCTTGGAATGTCGCCATGGTTTTCTGATGATAGCGAAAGCAGTGATATATCATACAATTTAAACTTTGCTACATTCAGACTTTTTTGCCCCACATTTACCCTGCATCTGTATCATTCTGTCACATACATCCTCATGTGATTATGCTTTATTTTGCTGTCACTGTTTATGTATTTTATCGTAATTAGACAACACTAGAAAAATGTGCCTATTCAAAACAGCTAACACGAGTCTAAATTTGAAACATTTGTCTTTTGTGAAACGCACAGTCGAAACTTACATTCTTGGCATCCCTTCAATCTTTGAGTTTTATTATCAACATAAATTCATCTTTGTTGAAACATATTAAAACAGTAGTGGGTGTCCCATTTATGAGCTATTGATACCATAAATATATGTACACTGGCATACATATATTCATGGTTTTACAGGTTCCTGGTTGTTTTAACAATGGAAATGGTCGATTCTAGTAGTTTCTAAGTTGATAATTTGCCTATGTTTATCTAGTTTTTATTATATATGTGTTCATGCTTTATAGGTGCTGCAGGGAAATACCATCGAGCCCTGCTTTACTTGAAGGCATTAACATGTAAGAATCCAATCTACAGCATGTCTCCAGAATTAAGTAAAACCAACAATGATGGGCTATCAGAGCAGCAGGAAATGAAGATTTCGTTGTTATCCGTGGATTGCTACAATAATTTAGCAGGTAAGTTCTAACAAGGCTTATTTATAGATCATACATGTCAAATTGTAGCTTAAAATAGCGTATAATGGCTAATTTGCTTCATCAGGTTTTCGTAATGTTTAGTTCCTTTTTTTTTTTAGCTCATCTGACATAGTCAGATGCAGCTTGTAGAATCGCATGATGCGAGAATTGAATCGCGTTTACACTGGCGTTCTCCAAGATTGAAGCAGAAACATAGAGTGGCGAGCCAAGTGAAACACGTTAAAAAACGGTCTTCTATTTTTATTTGCCTTCAGTTTTATGAAGACATGTGCGAGTGGCAGTGGTGATGGTGCCGGGTCAACAAACTACGTTTAGCATATAGTGAAGCGTGCTCCAAAACTTCTGTGTGACATGTTATGATGTAATTCTATAGCGTTTTGACGATCAAGTTGAAGTCGGTTGTTAGAATCCGTTTTGTATGATAATTGACCTATCCGTCTTAGAGGCAATGACTACGGTCACGCCTTGAACAATTTGGCTAGGTCGGTTAAGTGAACACCGCAACACATGGGCATAGCACACGCAAGGCATATGTATAGTATATGCTAGCACATACACGCACACAAATGAACTCCCCCTAACGCAAAACACACCCAACGTGAGTCGCGGCACATACACAAAGAGAAAGAGAGAAACAGTGAGAGAGAGAGAGAGAGGCGCTGAGCGGAGGGAGAGAGAGAGAGAGAGAGAGAGAAGAAGAGAGGAGAGAGAGAGAGAGAGAGGAGAAGAGAGAGAGAGAGAGAGAGAGAGAGAAAATAATAGCTGCGTATAATTGATGAACTCGATTACGGGCGCTGTATAATGTATTCTGGCGAAGCTCCTAGATATATAATATATCAAAGAATTATATAATAGAGATCCTATTATTATCTGATATATATGGAGGACGTGCTGCTTCGTCGGGCTATGTAATTGTGCGAACTATAGCCAGACGCTACCTATTATAATCGAAAGTCGACGTGTAATCAAAAAAGTATTTTAAACGATATCAATCGTCGTAATTCTAGTGGTTATGCGAGCAGCCTTATATATCTGCGTGCACTGCATGCGCGAAAAGCTCTTTGGGCCATGTAAGCCCTTTCTGCATCTAAATAGGCTTTCCAGGAAGGGAAAATGGTGGTGGAAGTAAATGACTCGGTAGGATGTACCAGCTCTCCGGCACATTAGGGCTATTCAAGGTAAGTCATCCAAAATGATCAAGTGATGAGAGTCGGTGGATGGCAAGGCGAACCTGCGTAGCAATGGGAACGCTGATTGGAGCGGGGTTAAATCATTTTCGCTCGTGACTGAACACAGTACGTCTTTGCAAGGCATCGTCACATCACATGCAATATGGCCGTCGTCAATGTCATTCTTTGACGAATAATCGTGGAAAGTGAAAGCAATATGTGAAGTTAGTACACCGCGACGGTACCCGCACACCGAACCGGGCTGTGCATCATGCAGCCATTTGCGGATTGGGTCACGTAAACGGGTGATGCTCCAATAGGAGGTCGTTCCCAACTTTAACGTCATTAATGTTCGTGATATAAAAGAGATATAAAGGGGGGCGGATCGATATAAATTAGATATCAAGGGGGAGGGTAGATTAGGAAATAGATATCAAGGGGGGTTATGTATAACGCATATAAAAGACGGCTATTAACTTGCGCGCTGTTGGCTGCGGCGAGAGCAACGGCGACCAATACCAGAGGCGGGGGCAGTTCGCTTCGTTTTTTTGCTGGACTTCGCTGGGCTTTGTTTGCTCGGGCTACGCAAATGTAGACGGAGGGATATGTTCACATTCGTTTCGCTCACCTTGCGTTGCGGGCGACAAGCGAAATAGACACGGCGCATCTTGGCTTCGTTTTCACTCCGCCTCGCTGGCGCGAAGCCTACGCCAATACAGGAGTGGGGGGCAATGTTCGGTTTGTTTCGGCTGGACTTCGGCTGGACTTCGCTGTCGAGCAAAGTGAAATTGAGACGAGGGATATGTTCCTCGTTCGCTGGACTCCTCTCTCTTCTGCTGCTCCGCTCTTTCTTTCTCTCTCTCTCGTCTCTCTCTCTGACTCTGCCCCGCGCTCTTTCTTTCTACTCTCTGCTCCTCTCTCTCTCTCTTTTGCTCTCTCTCTCTCTCTCTCTCCTTTCCTCTCTCTCTCTCTCTCTCTCTCTCTCTCTCTTTCTCTCTTCTTCTTTCCTCCTCTCTGCTCTCTCTGCTCTCTGCTCTGCTCTCCCTCTCTGCTCCCTCTCTGCATTTTTGGCGTGCTCGCGTAGGCGAAGGCCCGAGCGAAACGAAGGCCAAGATGCCCCGGTGTCTAATTTCGCTTGCTCGCGCAACGAAGATGAGTGAAACGAAGCGAACATGCCCCCGTGCTGTATTTCGGCTTGCTCCGAAGCAGTCGAAGGCGAGCGAAACAAAAAAGCGAACATGCGCCCCGCTGCTGGCATTTCCGCTGCTCGACGCAGCGGAGAGCAGCGAAAACGAAAGCGAACATGCCCCGCTCTGGCATCTTCGCTTGCTCGAGCAGCGAAGGCGAGCGAATACAAAGCGAACGAAGTGAACATGCCCGCCGCTCTGTATGTTGCGCTGCTGCGAGCCCAGCGAAGGCGGAGCGTAAACGAGAGCTTTACAATGCCGCCGGCTCTGCCATTTCGCTTGCTCGAGGCAGCGAGAGGCGAGCGGAAACGAAGGCGAACATTTCGTTTCAACTTGAAGAGCAACGCCTTTTTCCTTTTTAAGCCTCGCTCTGATCAGACTCAATGAAACGCGACTTTTAAGTCCCACTTGATAGTCTAGTTTTATATCGTAACCCCCCTTGATATCTATTCATTACTAACCCCCCTTGATATCTTCTTTTATATCGATTCCGCCCCCCCTTGAGTATCTCTTTTATATCACGATATTAATGACATTAAAGTTGGGAACGCTCCTAATGGAGCGTTAGCCCACGTAACAGCTAGATAGACCATTCGTGTGCAGTATTTCTTCACCCCGCTTCGGCCTGAACACAGTACATTAATTTAGTATCAGTTAGTTACTCGACATTTGCAGGCAGCAGGTGAGAGAGAAATCGAGGGAGAGGGCGAGCGAGAGAGAGAGAGAGAGAGAGAGAGAGAGAGAGAGAGAGAGAGAGAAGGAAAGAGTGAAAGAAAGGAGGAGAAAGAGAGTTCAAAAAGAGATAGAGAGGACGACGGAGAGAAGAGAGAGAGAGAGAGAGAGAGAGAGAGAGAGAGAGAGAGAAAGGGAAAGAGTGAAAACTAAGAAGGAGGAGAAAGACAGTGAAAGAAAGAGATAGATAGATAGAGAGATAGACAGAGGGACAGACGGAAAGAGAGAGAGAAGAGAGAGCAGACAGACGACAGGAACGAGACAGGCACAGACAGACAGACAGACAGACAGAGCAGAGAGAGAGGAGGAGAGAAGAGAGGAAAGAAGAGAAAGAGGGAGATAGGGGCAGATGCTGCCATGCAATCAGAGTACGGCTTCTGTATGAGGACTCAATAAGTTGACCTGATCAAGATCTCAGTATAAGCAAGAGAATAAAAATAATCTGCTGCGAAGTAGGCTAGGCCAGCAACATAGCTATTGAATTCCGCTAAGATAGACGTCCAGACAATGTTGCCTATATGCCAGCGCATGCACCAGCCGCCAATTGGCGTGCGTGCGCCTACGTGGCTTATATGATATATATATAATATATATATATAATATATATTATAATATATATATATAATGCTCGCACGTGCCGTGCGGCGTTGCGTGCGTGCGTGGCGTGGCGTGCGCGCCGATGGCATTGCGTGTGTGTGTAATATACGTGCCGTAATGATTATTAACTGCTTTGTTGTGTATTCTTCCATATGTACTCTAATATATATCTTCAGGTGTGATCAGGAGTAGAGATGTAGAGTGAATAAGAAAAAAATAAGACAAAAAAACAATAAAGTGGGTTTTCTTGTAACTTGTTGTAGTTAGTAACGCAGCCGCTCAGATCAGCTCCTGTCCGGCGCACACACATGCATCGCAGCACGCGCAAATGCAGCGCCGTGGTTGAGTCCGTGTACGTCACGGCGACGCGTGGGAATTAACCTAGCTGCGTGTTAATAGATATTCTTCCCACTGCTTCTTTAG